ATTTAGTAAAATCTACACGATTTAATTTCAACTGAAAGTACAAATTAAGCATTGTGATTAAAATGTAATACTATTGGAATTAGATTTGTATATTTGAGTGAAAAGTTAAACATTTTATTCATATTATATTCGCACAAATGATCACTCTATAACATAATTATTAAATGTATATTAAGTTGTGTATGTATATATATATATATATATATATATATAATGTATATATAAATGTTCTTTAAAAATTAGAATCTAGTAATTAGAGTTTTTGAGTGATAAAACTATTTTGATGTATTTAAAGTAATAATTTAATGATTGAATCATGAGATTTAATAGACTTAAAAGATAAATACAGTGCTGTTATAAAACACTGTATAACAATATTATATATATATATATATACATGCGTGATGTGTTTCTTTAATTTCTGTCGTCAAGACATATATAATATTATTTTTGTCGATATGGAATTTTATTTTTAAAACCAAAAATTTATTAACAGCTATGTCTTTAAAATGTATTATTCTTTATGTTGAATAATTTCTTCTTCATGGATATGTATACAAAAAACACATTATATACAACCAGTAAATTGATATGAATGAGAACTGTAAATATTTCATGAGTTTATATCATTTCTCCTTTAATTACACGTTTATGTTTTTAATCGCTCAAATACCTCTTGCAGTGTCTTGCCTAAAATCGTAATAAATTCAAGTATTAATTATATGGGTTTAATTCGAAAGCAAACAATTATTTCTGACAGTATTAAGTAAATTTAATATCTATTATTAATTATATTTTGTATTCAAAGATTTATTGAGTTTTGTTTATATACATACGTACCATCTTATGATGACCATTGACACATATTACATTCAAAATATTGTACAATATTTCAAATAAATTATTTTTTATTAACATCAAATTCTCATTTGAGTGTATTTATATACGCAATTCATAGTTATACATAATTATATTTATAAAATGTACTTTTTATTTTAAAATAAAATTAAAATAAAATTTACTAGGTACTAATATGATAGGTTATTACATTGCCTAAGCATAAAGACACCTAAAACTTATCTGATTAACATTAATTAGTAGATTAAAAAATGCAATTTACAGGATTACAGATACATATATTAATATTACTACTTATTAATGTTAATCATAAAGTTTGTAACGTTATTGGTGATTATTTATAATTGAAATAAATATACTTATTTTATTACCAAATACAATAATTGAATTAATTATTAATTAATCTATTAGTAATAAATATACAAACGTTTTAAAATTAAGCTATGATTAAAAATCATGTTTAGAATATTTAGTTAGTCTGACATGAACTTAAATGAATAATAATATATTATGTTTATAATATAACGTAGAATATCTATTTTAGATTTCATTCAATGTACCTACCACGTATATCTAAAATAATATATTGACCAATTAAAATATTAATAATTTAAAATTGTTTATATATTCTTACTGTAATCATAGTTTAATTCTTAGTTTTTAATTCTACTAAAATAAATATTGTGTAAATGAATAAATAATATTCTAATGCTGCAGATCATTAATTTTAATACAAACAATAATGAATTGGTTGTAGACATTTCGCATTAACAATGTAAACATCTTTAAATGATTAAAAAATAATTGCATTATACGTTGTCTTAGTAATTACAGTTTTATTGTCACTACTAAAATAAATTATTGAATAGTCTTATCTTTTTATGATAATTATTATATATATGTTTTAAACAAAAATTGCTCTTGAATAATATTTATCATCAAATAATTAGTTATAACAGTCTTGGTAAATTAAGAAATTGTTTAAATTATTTCTAAAAAATATGTTCTCTTTTAAGACTTTAAGTACTAAAGTTGATTTGAAATATCAACGTTTCGTTGAAACGTTAACATAAATATATCCTAAATTCATTAAGTACTCAAAAGTAAATTCCAATAACTTAAAACCATAAAGAGAAAAATGTAAAAGATGTATTTATTTAACATCAGAACATTTAATTTAAATATTATGAGTATAGTGAAGTATGTATAGTTTAATTATTAATAAACAAGTGCAAATGTTGATACCTACTCCCTTTGTGCAATTCTTGTGATGGAAGTAATTACTTTGATATTTTTAATTTTATAATGATATATTACAATTTTATTGGATTTGAAATGAAAAACTTAGTGGAGCTGATTTACTGGCGATTGTAAATTATTTTTGCCGTTGAAAAGTTTAAAACTTTTGTAAAAAAAAAAAAAAACGATATGAGATTGCCGAGATTTTTTTGAGATTATATGAAAACCTCATTCTTTAGTTGGATTTTAAACCTCATTGTATTGTTCGAGTACCTACTAAAAAATCTTAAAAAGTCTTCAAAAGGTTAGAAAATATTTTTTAAGTATTGAATTGCTTAATAACTTATGAATTTTAACGTAATTTTATAATTTTTAAAACGTTAAAATTATATTATTATTGGGTTAACTACTTTAACCATAACCACATTTATTATAACTTATAGCAAATTATTATTAGATCAAATATATAGTATGTAAATGTACACATTATTTTGATCTTCTATTAAATTAATAATTGAACTGTTATTAAATTATTACGCAAGAAGAAGTTTATAATTATTTTTTGTGTTTTAAAGAAGTTAAACAATCCACCTTTATAAACCTAATAAATATTTTGACATTGATAAAAATGGTAATAATTTCAATAAATTGCTATTTTAACTTTTATTTATAATACTTATTACACTTAAACAATTTTCAATAAACTTTCGATTATACATTTATACATTTACGCATATTATACTACAGTTACACTAATTATTTATGATAAAATATTTATAATTTTATATTTAGCAGTTTAGTACAGACGGTGTATTCTGTTACTAAAAGTATAATAATATACACGTGAACAAAATATTCATTATTCTGAAAGACTTTTTTTAATTAATACGATTCATATGATTAATGTTTCAGATTTATAGCCTAAATTGTAATTTTTATTCCATGTATAATATTATGTATTTTTACACTAAGTAATGTACATTATAATATTATATACATAATATTCAGCGGTTTAACAGAATTTCATGTGTATTAAGGGTTTTAATTTTATTTTTGATCCTTTTTTTATATTTAAGAATATAACAAAATCAAATAATGGTATTTTAAATAAATTTATTCAGGAAACAATAACCTACCTCGAATATGTATGTATATAGACAAAAAAACAATTAATATAAAGTAGGTAAAGCATAAAGTCACTTGCTTTTCAGCTCTTAATACGTATCTTAACTATGTCTACGGAATTTGTGTAAGTTCATAATAAATTAATAATTAATAAAAGCATGATTTAATATATTATTATACGTAATTATTTAAAATAAGTTAAATTATTATTACAGTCATCAAATTTAATATATAAATGAAAATTCAGATATTGATTTATTAAACTTTATATACTAAATAAAATAATAATTCCAAACGTAACTAAAATGAAAATTTAAAATATAATTAAATTATAAAATATAAAAAACATATTTTAGTTTTATTTATTTATTTATTTATATATAATGTCATGTTATGGTTTTGTAAATGCAAAAATTTATAAATAGTTATACGATTTATACTACTACAACTTTATTTTCAAAAATATTCTATGGAAAATTCGATTTTAGTGTGGTCGTATTTATATTCATTATTCAATGAATATATGTGTAGTATACGTATAATTTCTAGTTGTCTTAAACATTTTTCAGTTATACAGAAATTAACGTACATTTCACAATCGCATTTTTACTGTTAATTTTGAGAAGTTAAATGTAAAAATTGTATAACGTATTTCATGAAAGCAAAAGAAAATATATATAATAAAATTTAACGAAAAATTCTAAACATTTTAATTTTTAATAGCATCAAATAAAACTTGACCTCTACAGAACGTTTTTTAGCTATCGACAATTGGCATTTATAAGAATGGGGTGTAGAAAAAGAAATTGTATTGAAACGAGAAAATTCTGAATTATACATCCACATTCCACGGAAAATATATTAGCCCGCTATTCTCTCACGCGTACTCAATATAAGTGAATTGCATGCGGCTTATGATTTAGCATTATAGCATTTATAATCTCCTAGCTTTTTATGTCGTTCCGTATACAAATCAAAATTTCAATACATTTTAAATACAGAATTAATTTTTAATTTGTTTTTCCACGGCAAAAGAACGTAATAGATAATTAAATACGTTATAATTATATAATTATTTATTTAATATTTAAAATTCATTCACGTATAAAAATATATATATATATATATATATATATATATATCAATATATTAGTCGTTTAAAATAATATATTTTTGAATATGACTTAAACTCAACCGAAAATGTATGTACCACTTCAAATAAAACATAAACATTATCATAAGTAATTTATATTTACACAACATAATACGATGTAAAAATAGGATATTATATTATTAAATTAATATTAAACACGAAAAAAAAATTGTTTGTAAAAACCTTGTGATGTAATTCACAAATATTTTTTTAGAGTATCTGTATAGTTATAATCAAACTATTTTTTTCTGAATATTAATGATACGTATTGTCAATAATTTAAAAAATTAGTTTATTGTGTACCTATACAGTACCTATATACTTAAAGACGTTTAAATCGTATCTATTACAAAACCGGATACAAAGAGACCATATAAATATACATTATTGTATTAAATACAACAAATTTTGTTGTTGCTGTTGTTGTTTTTGTTGTTGTTGCTGTTGTCGTCGTCGTTATGATTATTATTACTGTTATACCTAGCCTAGCTATTATCGTAGCGCATTAACGGGCGACGGCGACGACGACCTGTAGAACGCGTCCTTAGGTGACGGTGTACAATTTTTTATATAACACAAGATTATTCTTACTATGGTATAATTATTATAATATTATTATACTCACGAATACAAAGCGTGCGGGTCCCGCGACAGCGTCGTCTGCGGTGACTTGACGCGACCGCGTTTTATACTTGGGCGCTTGTGTGTGCGTGTGTAGGTATGTGTGTGTCTGTGTGTGTGAGTGTGCGTTTGTACGTACGTACGAGTACGAATTTCAAAAGAAAATTCCGCCTCGACGAGAGAAACGTCTAGACCGGTAGAATAGGACGACGAACGGGGCTTGTGTAAGCTCCGGCCGGATACGACACTCCGGTCGCCGACGTCGTCGTCGTCGTGTCTTCGGTCTTTCGTCAGCGGCGGCGTCGCACGCGTGTCGGAGCGCGAGAGCCGATTGAGTGACGCGGCGGACGCCGTGCGACTACAAACACGCGCTCGTCGGACACGCCGCGCCCCCCGCCCACGCCTCCTCGGCGGAAAACCTCGACCGCCGTCGCCGGCGCGCCGACGACCGTCACAATAATAATAGACAGTACGCCGCCGCCGGTCACGCGCGCACGCGGTTTCCTCCGCCGCCACGCGGTCCGTCGCCGCCGCCGCAGTCGCCGCTGTCTCGTCGGCGTTCGACGGGGTTTCCCGGCCGCGGGCCAGCCGCCGCCGCCCCGTTCGTCGTACCCGGCCGACGAGAGTGTATCGCACGAGCGTGTTTCTTCCGCGAAAGTAGACAAATAACATAGTTATAGTTAACACGCATAACACGGGTCTGCAACGGCCCGTCGACAAATGATATTATATAAATATATATATATATATTGGCAAGCGCATACCCCCTCCCCAAAACTGTAAAGAATTTTTACACCCCCGCGCTAATTTTGTCGTCTGGGCACCGCCCGCTCTGTTCGGAAAAATTAAAAATTCGATTCTTAACGGTGAAAATTAATGTCACGCGTACCTACTCCATTATCGCTAAACCTTGGGTATTATAATATTATCCGACCGTGTATTATATGCGGGTAGTATCGTAATTAACGCAAACATTTACATACTAAATATTTACTAATAATATTTATTCGTTTCATGTTATCAAGGACCAATAATCAGTGATCAGAGCCCTCGTTGTAAACACGACTTTTCAGTCGGTCGTTCCGTGATCGGTCATTGGTGTGCAATAAATATGAATAACAAGGTTAAAAAAAAATAATAATAAAATAACTCGAATATTATGACCACAATATAAAAAAGTACAGATAAACTCGACCACCAAACTCTATTTAAACACTTCCCGGGTAATCGCAAAGGCGTATTTTTAATGGGGATGACGTGATGGTCACCGCACTGCCAACCACCCCTTCTCCACTTGAACTTTTATTAATAGTTTAAGTTTTGTTTTTTTAAATAACGTTTAGCAGTATACATATTTTTGAAATCTATTATTTTTATAAATTATAGTTTAGTGTATTTTAAAAGTAAAATACTTACATTCCTCCTTTAATTAAGACTAAGAGATGCAGACCTGGCTCATTGTATAGTATGTACTAATACCACTGTGATTTCATAATAAACCCATCATTTGTTATTTATTTGATTAACCATTTTAATTTTTAAAACATATATTAACAACAATTTTACAAAATGCACATATCATTGTATATCAAGGTCTTATTTGGCTATTAAAAATAATTTTTATACACACTAAATTAAGTAAAATTATAATACATTATAATCAAGAATCGTAGAGTTGTCTCATTATAGTTAGACTGGGAACCTATGGAAAACATAATATTATTTAGACGACTAATAAGCGTTTAACGTTGATACATCGGTCTCAGCTTATACTGCTCAAATAATAGAATATACATTTTATCGAGATAAAATGTTATCATATGATAAAGATAAAAAATATAACGATATAGGTATTATAATTATAAACTCTTCTGCCAAAATGCCATCGTGTCGTCAATAGTCAATATTTTACGCACTTACAAACCTGGATACGAAATCCATTTGATGTAGAATCATCAAGATTTGGACAATTAGCCAAACGTAAGAAAACCGGTGCATGACTGATTTTCCTTAAGATTTAAATAACGAAGAAATAAATTTAAATTTAAGACTAATCAACGGAAAATATTGCGATTACCCTTAAACGAATAACCTATACCATTATAATATGGATGGTAGCCACACCCTGACCTAAACTTAAATTTAATAATCTACTATCTTAGTCGTCGAATTATTTTGACACATTCTTGTCCATATTTTAGGTATGTAATATATCGTATAACTAATACGTTATACTCATGAGTGGTTAACCGTCATATTTTCAATTAATCTAATAGTCATCCTTAATCTAGATTCATGCTACACTGTTTCAAGTCGTCTTTTACATATTTAACAAAGAGATAACAATATTATGGTAACACATAACCTAAAGTTAAATATACGTATTCATCTGAAAACACTGAAAATGCTGCCTTAGCTAATTTCACAGCCACGCATATCACCACTAGAGTATCACAAACTCAAACATTTTTATTTAAAAATAACGTATTTCCACAAGTAGCGTATGAACACGCATAAACAATATTTTATTAGTAAAATACGCTCATCACTAGCCATTTTTTCAACATAATTTATCATATGGTTTGATAATTTATTCAACTGCCGTTTACGCTTCATCATTCATGAGTACGGAGACGCATCATATTAGTTTTTAAGGGGTTTGATTAGGCAATTTAAAATTTAAATGTTGAACAATATCTATATATTTTAAGTGCCAATCTGAAGTAATTAATAAGTCATTAATCATAAAATCTTTGGAAAGACATTTTGACTAAAACGAAACATGAAGGGGAAACCAAAAATTAAAGAATTTCGTAAAGAAACAAATACAGTTTAAATAATTTGGAGTAGAAAGCTTATAAAAAAAAAATAAAACATAAAATGACCAATACCAAGAGAACGGCCCCCAGGAAACGACTATGCATCGTCAAAAACTTAACACTATTAAAAGTAGAAAATGGAGTACAACTACTGAACGAGATTTACTAACTTACTGAGATTGGTGGTGGTTGTGGAAATAGACCTAAACAGTCTGTTAAAATTTAACAAAAAAAATTACTTATATTTAGCTTACGTTAATAATATTATATATTTATAGTCTATGTGTTACTATAAAGTTATATAAAAATAGTTTTCTGAGAGAAATTACAAAGAAATAAATTGATTTAAATAAATAACCACAATTTTACCATAGGGAGAAGAAAATTCTTAATATAAAATATCATTTATACTTTTTACTTCTTAGATAATGAGATTTAAAAAAAAAAATAATTTTTATTATTTTACAAATAACATAAACAAATAAAAACAAATTATATTTATATTGCTCATAATAATTATTTTTAATATGTTTTAATATAATAACATTAAATATTAATTTACTGTTGTATGCTTATATTGTTACGTAAAATTATGAAATTTAATTTAATTTACGGTAAGATTAAAAAAAATGTATCTATAATAATAATACCTTGTCTGTTTTTAGTGTCTCGTGCTTTGGCAAGACAGAAAAATAATTAAAAATTGATTATAACGTGAATATTTTATACAAGTTAGGTGCGCTTATTTATTGTCGGTAGCTAGGTTTACTGGGTTGTGCGTGTGTTATAAAAACTAGCATAAAATCAACAAGTAATATTGCCAATCATTTATTCAGAATACTTATTAATTATTTATATATTTAAAAAAAAAAAAAGTAAAATTCAATTAGAATCTAGTTGATCGTTGACAAAAAAAAATAAATATATTTATTATCAAGTTGTATTCACGCGATAGTCAATCTTTGAGTTGAGATAATATCTATATTACCTATATTGGCTATATTATAGGTATTATAGGTACTTACATATTGATACTTTATATAAATAATATCCAGTAACAAATGGTACTATTAAAAGTTATTAGAAATAAATTGCTACACGTCTTTATGATAAATAAATGAAAAACTATGTCAATGTCAATTTTACGATAATAAATTTTTGATTTACTAATTAGTAGTATTTATGAATTATGAAACGAAATTTTCTTTCGAATTTTCAAATATATTTTAGTTTTTATTAGACATTAATTAGAAATTTTTATTTTGGCTGGGTCACGCATTCATGAACGTCAATATTTGTAATCAAAGCTTAATTTAATTGTATAATACTACTAATATATTTATTTTTAGTTAATTACAGATATCAAGAGTAGAAAATCATAATAATATTACATGCTAGGTAAATATTTAAAATTAACTTGCTATGAAATATGAATACATTCAATGTAAAAACAAGTAAATCCAAAAATAATAATAAAAAGAAATAAGCTATTACCTACATTTTATAGCATTAAAGTGTAAGCTCTTTATATCTTGACGATGTATCTCCACTGGGATATCTCTTCAATCTGTTATTTCTATGCTACATATTATTGATCAATTATTAAGCTTATTTTTAAATTGTAAAATATTACGAAATAAATAATTATGTTAAGAAAAATATGTAAGCTCTAGCAATGCTAATAATAATTATTTATATGCCTCATTGTTTCAGTGATGGTAGACTTTGAATACTGATTTTTCTAATCAGATAAAACAAAAAAAAAAAAAAAACTGATACAATTAAAATTATTTACTGGAGATGACAACATACATTGCTTACTCAACATATTTTTATGCCACGGCTGTATATATTGCCAGCATATTACATTTATCTAGGTTATTGCATACCTTATAATATTGAAATTAAAAAGAAATCATTTGATTCGTGATTGTTTGAGTACCCATAATAATTTTTTCATTAGCAAACAATCATTATCTCAAAAAGTTTTAATATTTTTAAAAAAAAATTTATTATAACTTTTGAATTTGTAAAAAAAACATATTAAAGGCAATTTTTTTTACTTTTTTGAACAAAAACATACTTTTTATTTGTACAATGAAGCATAATATTTTCTAGATGATTTGGTCTATAAAAATTGAATTTTTAAATAAAATTTAATTAGTTCTTAAAAAATATAAGTGTTTAAAGTTAAAGTTTAACTGCGCAAGTTTATAGTGCATATAAAATAGTACTATTATTTTTGCACTCACGTTTTTCAATTACTTCGTTAAATTTTTATTTCATCCATATTGAACAAAATTTTAAAAAAACTCAATCAAAAAATTAAAACATGTGTACTGCAGCTATACAAATACAATACGTTTAATGTATATGTTTATGGTATATTATAAACAACTGGACAAGAAACAAACATTTTAAATACATGTACAGCTAAAGTTTTACTACAACGAAAATAATACATTTTTCGGGACGTTGGATTAGATTTAATCGTCACTTATTATTGACGTAATCTCGCCTTATC